CTTTTTAAGTTTGTGATCTCTGCCTTTCTCTTTGGCTTGGGTCTGGCTCTTTACTTCCTAAGCCACAGTTCCAGTCTGGCATCTTGTTAGTTAATAGGAGTTTTGAGCATTTTTCTTCCTGGGCTGGCCCTGTAGGTCTCAGCCTCCTGGGCCGCTGGGATTACATGGGTGAGCCACCAGCGCCTGACTCAAGGAGGGTTTTGTGAGATGAGATGGCTTGTTTCCTTTGCTCACACTGGGCAGTGTGCAGCCAGCCTCCTGCTCCCCGCCCTCTGCTGGCCTCCAGGCCCTGCCTGCTTTTGCTCCCCAAGTCCTCTTGTATCTCCAAGTCCTCTCGTACTCCTGAGTCCTCCCTATACCCTCCCTCCCCCAGCAGGCATTTGTTCCCCCTTTGTTCGTCATAACCTGGCCCTCTACCCCAGCTATAGAAGGTATTCTTTTTTGTTTTCAGCACTAGTCTACACGTGGCTCCCCATGGCTTTGGCTGGCCCGTCCCCAGAAAGAACCATGTGCTCCGTCTGGGGTCCATTGTTTGGCGCTGGGGAAAGGCTCCCACCACTTGGGCCCATTTTCTTCTTTGAAAGTTGAACTGAACTGGACCATGCTCTTTCATCTTTGCTCAGGAGTTGATCATTGGCAAATGACTTCTGAACCCAGCTCCGTCTTCCTCGCCCTGCCCCCCCTCCCCCACTCCCCTCCCCCTGCCCCAGGCTCACCCGGAGTGAATGCATGCACAGCTTCGGAACAGCTCGAGGCACAGGTGAGTCACTGTTCAGATTCCTAAGTGCTGAAGGTGCACTAGTTTGCACAGGAGCAGCCATAGCCTATTTAAGTGGGTGCAGCAAAACAATGGCCACATGATATTTTCCTCCTCAAAGGCAATTGCTAGAGGAGCTGAGCTTGGAGTCTAGGGGGAAGGGGTTGGTAACAGAAAGTCTTGAGCCCTACCAGGAGGGCCTTAATGGATCCTCAGGGAGGGTCTGCCTGGAGCTATGAATGCACAGTCAAGTCAAAGAAACTGCTGAGAGACTCAAAACAGTCACTACCGGGCAAGGAAGGTGAGTTTTTGCTTATTGTTAACAGTACCATAATCCTTAAGATAATATTTAGTTTCGTATCAGGCATCTAGAATGAATTTGAGATTTGGAGATCCTGCTGAACCCTACGTGGGAAACACGAATGATATCCCTAACCAGCTGACCCACTCCTGGCCTCAGGCATGGCCTCCATTCAACGCTGGGATGGTGGGCCTCTTCCAAGTCAAATCTTGACTGATTTCTATGTGATGTTTTATTTTTCCATGGACAAGGGACTGGACTCTTCCCCCCTTCAGTGTGCTGCCTCTTTGGATGCTTTCTTTGGCTAACAATAGGTGATTCCAGGAGAAAAGGTAAAGTTTGGCTTCTTGTAGGAAGGCAGACAGGAGCTAGCTAACAGAAGTTGCCAGCCTTCCTGTAGGAAGCTCAGCTGGAAGAAGCCCCAGAGGCATTTCTAGAATGAATCCAATGCTCACCTACACACTTTACCAGCTCTCAGTGAGTGCCCTGCTCCCTCTTCCTCTTCTCCTTCCAGCCTTGGGTGAGCCCATCTGTTTGCATTCTGCATCCATGCCCTGTGCTGAGATCCCTTCTGAGAGGAGCTCCAGGGGTCAAGGACAAGTGTGTGATTGAAGGGAGCAGCTGGGCCTCGGGGTGGGACAATCCTGTCATTCTTCCCGGTTCCCACTTTGCAATTCCGATCTGTCCTGGCCCGCTCTCCTCCAGCAGAGGACATCCGCTGGTAAGCCCTTACACTGCTTCTTCTCCTGTTTCTCTCTCCGATTCTCCTATGAGAACGGGAAAGGTGGTCTCGTTTTCTGAAGGTGTGTGTCGACAGCATGCATGCTTTTACCGTGACTCTCACACGAGCTCCCAGATCTCTTCCTCTAAGCCAGGGCATCTCCCGCCACTGGAAGCGCTCTGGCAGCTGTGCAAGCCACTGGCTTTCTTCTCAATTGGCTCCCAGAATCAGGATCTGGCATTTATCTGTATTAAAATTAGAGGCTCGATACTCATCAGGCTTTTCTCCCTTCTCCTGGGGCCTCAAGTAGAATTTTTCACTGTCCTCCCATGCTCAGTACTTCCTGGAGTTTCTGCTATTTTAAAGAAGGTGATTTTAAAAGGAAGGTTTTGTAATGATATTAATGAGAATTTGTGAAAATACAACACGGGCAGTCTATTTATCAGTCAACAGCTGATCAAAGCTGACTTCCAGTACCTTTTTGTTCGGATTGTATGTAAATTTTGGTCAATTTTTATGAAACCCACATAGGAAGGTGGAATGTTCGGTAGGTTATGAAGCACTTTTCTGTCAGCATCTCTACATTTGGTCGGTGTTCAGTTCAGATGGAAGTCTTTGGGACGCCCTTCCTGCACGCCACCTGTAAGGACACTAAAAGCACAGCTTTCCTAGCGGTGCCCAACCTGTAAGTTCTTTGCATTTTATCACGGGACAGGGCTTACGTGCCAGTGGGCTTTAAAAAGAGGTGGGCTAAATTCAAACCCTCAGTATGTGACTACAGATGACCACTTACTTCCCCTACCACAGTGTCATCACTCCTAAAATGGGGTGAGACTGTCAACTCCTGCTAAGGATATTCTCAAGAATTGAAAAGCAAATGATGCTTATTTTTTAAGGTGCACAGTGGCTGAGTATAAAGTAGATCTATTAGGACTGCTATGTTACATGCTGTTATGGCTAGCTGTGGGCATTCCAATGTACACCACCGACAGGACTGGCAGCATCCTGAGGGCAGAGTGGCGGGGCCTGGTACTCCACTCAATCAATCACATCACCAGCACTCGTAGACAGAAAAATCGTGGGAACCTTGTGCAACCAAGGTTTGACATATGGAAACTCTGGGAAATGGAAAACTGTCGGCATGGAGAGGTTTGGTGAAGAAGCAACAAGTAGAAAGATGATTGGTGGGCTAGACAGGGTACTGGATGGAAGGAAAACCCAGCAGCCTCGTCTGTCTGCTTGGACTTTTCTTGGCATCTTCATTGTTCTTCCTCCTGGCTCTCGGGCAGGTTTCTCTATGGTGACAGAATCTTCAAGGGGTAAGGGAGGGAGGAAAGGAGGAGGGAGCTCTCTAGGTCATGTGTCTGGCTTTAAGGAGGTGTGTGTGTGTGCGCGCGTGTGTGCGGGCCTGAACACTATCCCTGAGCTTTTCTTTGCTGAAGACTGGATGGAGCTCTACCACTTGAGCTACAGCTCCACTTCCGATTTCTGGTGGTTAATTAGAGATGAGTTTCACACACTTTCCTACCTGTGCTGGCCTCCGTCCATGATCCTCAGATCTCAGCCACCTGAGTCATAGGATGATAGATGTGAGCCACCCGGCCCTCTGAGTACTTTTAAGGATACACTTGTCATATAACATTGGAACCAGAAAGACTCTCTAACCTGTGTGTTTTGTGGATGTTTTGTCCTTGGATTGTTTGTCCTCCAGGAGAGAAGCCTGTGTTAACACGTTACAGAAAAGGGATTGTAAGAAACCCAGTTGATAATTAAAATTTTTAAAATGCACAGCCTCGTGTTTCCATTCATTGAGAGGAGGTTGTGCAGTGAGCTCAGTGGTGAGGTCGGTCAGGTCTTCCTCTGCAGGGAACTTTTTAGCCCAACTGCAGATGATCAACTCAATCTAAAGAAGTGAGGTAGGGATAAACCCCAGCTGCCATGGCTGCCTTCGGAGCAGTGGGCTGGAATTAGCGCTGGGCTCCGCGGAGCGCTGCGGTCTCACCCAGCCAGGCCTGGCCACTCAGCAGAAGGCGCCGGGCGGGGCCCGGAGGGCCTCGGCCCGCGGGCGGCGGGCTTCTCTCTCCAGGGAGTCCGCGGCTCCCCGAGGCTGGGGAACCGGAGGGGGAGCCAGACGACCGCGTGCCCCCGGGGCCCGGCCTCCGCCAGCTGCCCGGCCGGGGGCGCACCAGGGCCGGGGTCTCTCGGACCCGCCCGGACCTCCACGGGACGCTGACCTCACCTCCCCAGGACCCCGACCCTCCCCGCAACCCCTTCCTCTCCGGGATCCCCGACCTTCCACAGACCTCCGACCCTCCCTGGACCCCCGACCCTCCCCCGAGTCCCGGCCTCCCCGTGACCCGCGACCTCCCCGGACCCCCGACCTCCCGGGACCCCCGACCCTCCTCGAAACCTGGTCTCCCCGGGACCCCGGCCTCCGCTGAGCCCCTCGGCTCCCTCCGGAAGACCCTGGGCCTCTCCCGGGGACTCCGCGGGGCGCGCGGCTGGACCCGCCGGGGCGGGCACGCCCTCCTCCGGCTGGGCGCGGACTCCGGGCACTCAGGCTCCGCCCCCCTCCTTAGACTTCAGGCGCCCCGCCCGCCC